AAAATAAAAGTACAAATGGGCCGGGACAACAAATAGAAACAGGGGGGTGTAAGTTTAAAAATGTAGGCCCAGATCAAGGAAGAGGCCCAGGTTGCCTTCTGATCCAATGAGGGAGGCTGCCTTTCGATCCAAGGAGGGAGGTTGCCTTTCGATCAAAGGAAGGAGGTTGTCCTTCGATCCAAGGAGGGAGATACCTTTCGATCCAACGAGAGAGGTTGTTGATAGTGTATGATGGATTTCCTGTGGAGGGTACTGGATTTGACCTCCTTGTCATCCATTGGCTGGAGCTTGAAGGCGCATGGGAAGTGTTTGAAATGCAGCACACTGGATCTGCAAGATAGTTGTTATAAAAAAACATAATACACGACATGGGTATCAAACCCAGACCCTTTCCACTGCACACGTTCCCCTTTAATGTCTGAGTTGTTTGGTCATTCGTTGATCCAAACATAAAACAATTATTATATGATAAACGGCAATAAAATATTGAATGCAAATACGCCACCTTCATTCAAGCATAAATATGCATGAACATGGTGATTCATGGTTCAGGGAGTATGAGGGTTCATCTAATGGCTCGAACCTGCATATTTGGATCTCAGCAACACAATAATATGGATGATATGCACTAAAACACATAAAAAACAAATACGAATTCTCATGATTATTGGAACCGGTGATGCATATGCGTGCGTTTTTAATAGCTTTGCTGTCAATAACGGCCCATTTTTACCCTATGAACCTTACAGGGATGATTTCAACGCTTGGTTTGGATGGAAATGGGTTGAATCAAAATGTAGGCGCCTGCATTGAGTCCAGAAAATTTGAAATAACTTCAAGGTTTTATGGAGTTTTTAGTGAGGCAATATGTACGTGTAGGAAATTCGTTGTGTATAGGAAATGTGTGTCTCCCCTCTTTTGCTTGCGCTTTAGCTCTGTATTTATAAGGGTGCAGTGATGAACGAAAATTGAAAGAATCAACCATTAACCATAGCTTTGAAGGCAGAATCGAAAGTCTTAAAAGGTTACCATTGTTGATGATTTTTTACCATTTTGGGTTTTTGAGTGAACCTGGATAGGTTTCACTCCCACATCTTGACTTTTCGAATGCTCTGAAGTTTTGTTCTTCGATGGTTATGAGTTCTAATTTGAATGGTCCAAGGCCTCATCATTGTGGCTTCTTCGATTGAGCCAATATCTTCCTTAGTTGCTTGATCTGAAAACTATCCAATTAGCCTAATCGAACAGTTCTTGTTCCTTTTGATTTCCTTCCCTTCAATTCGACCACCTCTTCCTCTTGGTCTGTCGAAGCTTCGTTTTATCATCTCCTTCGAATGTAGTTGTGCAGGTGGCTCTATGATTTTAACTCTCACCCTTTGCTTATGTCTACAAAAATATCTTTCTTGCTGATCACTAGTTCACCTTCGATTGATGAATATAGCTTATATGCGCCAATCGAAGGATGACTTATGAGCACCAAGCCTTTACTTTTATTACTCGACTCCTTCCTTTCCTGTTCAGGCACATTCCTGAAACACATTGATCCCCAAAACTCTAAGATGACTCATATTTGGCTTATTCATCTTTAACTATCCTTCGATTACGCCATGCTTGAAGATGGCATGTCCTTCGAACCAATAGATTTACACGTGTTTCTTTTGATAAGATAAGAGCTTTTTGAATTCCAAATATTCTTCTTTTTGAAGCGCCCATTCAGGCAACATGTCAATCGAAAGGTGTCTTCCTTGTAACGCTTTGAATGACTTACATCTCCATGTTCGAAAATGAACCTTTTGATGACGCTCATTACCAGCTCTCCCAATCGAAGGCTTCATAAAAGCCTTCTCACACTTTCTTTCGAACTAGCGCTCCTTCGATCCTAGTGTTTTGTTGGGCATTAAATTAGCCTGCATACTGATGTCGAAGCTGCTTCGACCCAAAAGCCCTTAGGCATATTTTCAGACTTTGACCTACATTTTGTCATGTACACTTCTTTTCTTTCTTTCATCTATGCTATTATGTTGAGGCATATAGGGTGACATGGAAATCATTTGAAGCTCTGGAACTCACACATCTTGGTGAAAAGTGAAATTAGTTGAAAAGCCATTGCTTAGGAGAAGAATTTATCTGATTAATTCTTGGTCAACCTTGAGCAATTTGGGACCTTAATGAGTATGCTTTGAATAAAAATGGGAGAGCAAATTTTGGGGTACAACACATAGCTTAAGGTTTTGGTTATTCTCAAGGAAAACCTTAGAAAGGCAAGGGTTTTGGAAACCTTTGGAGTTATCTAAAGTTATTGGAAATTCTGAAACACTTGTTTACACCTTGAGTTTGGGTTATTCATATATTGAAGGTTGAAGAGGTTGAGAAACACTTGGGTGGAAAGTATGGTTAATTTTTGGGAGCCTTATGGGTTGTTCTTGGGAACCTGAATGCAAAGGCTATTTTCTTGTTACTTGTTTGTAATCTCTTGTAACAACTTACTGAGTATAGTGAATTGGAGAGTTGCTCTCTCCCCCGGAATAGATCGTTTGATCAAATTGGGTAAACAAACCTTCGTCTTTTTCTTTCTTTATTCTGTTATATTATTTGTGTATGAATTATTATTGTTGTAAACTATTTATTTTGATTTCTGCTATTCTTTGCCTCACGAATTGATATTGAATTTTGTCGTAATTTACAAGATTCACAACATTATCAAATTGTTCTATACTTATATTGTTGAGTTTTTAATAAGTGCTAAGTATAGTTTACGAATGAGAATGTCAATATGATACTTATACTTTACGGTGTTCTGTATCTAAACTAATCCTTCAATTAAACTTAAAAGCTAAGAATCAGAGTAATTTCAGCTGGAGTTATAACTTATGAGTTCATTTAGATACAAAATAAGGGAATCAGTAAAAAGGATAAAAAGACCAACAAAATAATACAACTTGTATGCTTTCAGAGACAATATAACAAATAGGTAGATGACAACACTAACTAGAGCCAATGAGATAGTCAAAATATGAAACACCCTTGTTGCACCCCAAAATTTGCCCTCTTATTTCTAACCATAGTTGGCTTATGTTTCATTTTCATACACGCTCATGTATATCATTGGTTCTATGGTTATTGGGATCAAAGTTTTTGGTGATTTGGGTTACCCTGTTCAAAGAGAATGATATGGCACTCAAAGGTAATGCAAGATTAAACTATCATCATGGTTATGATCTCAATTTTATCATTCATTCCAAATATTTTCAAGCTCATCTCAAGCTAGGGTTTCACAAGCGGTTGAGTCTTATATATCAAATAAAGGTCGATTCCTTCTTATTCTTCTGGTTCTTCTTTGCGCATTGAAGTGTGGAATTAGGGTTGTGATCCATGGTGATTGTGGATTCCTTCCTCTTCAAGCTACAAGACTATTTTCCTCTTATCAACTTTTTAAGCTATCTTTATCTTCATTGAGCATCTGAGACAAATAGATTAGGGTTAGCATTTCATCAAAGTGTTCCTCTATGTTTTAAGTCTCGTCTTCTTCATTCAAGGATTTAAGGCATTGATATTTTGTTGGTTATTAAAGTCAAGGCATTGTATAAGAAATGATGGATTCATGGTGATTGTGACATTATTGTGCTCTTTCATTTGCTTATGGTTTATTTCTTGAGTGACAAGTTAATGTGAGCATGAGATTCTTCTAAATGTGCTATGAATCTAATATGGCTAAGTGATCAAGACAAGGTTTTGGTTTAGGGATTCCCCACAGCAGCAACATGGATTTCTCAAGGGTTAATTAAAGAGAGCAAGTTGAAAGAGGATTGGAATTCCAAATTGAGGAATTGAAATGAAATTTGGGATTCACATTCAAGAATAAGTCGTGTTTCTCTTGCTTGAAATCACTTCATAGTTAGATAGAAAGATGAATCAACTTTTCAATTCAATATCCAAACAAAGTGTATTCAATTCATGATTCAAATATCATAATGTCATACATAAATCCATATTATCATTAGAAATTCAATTTGAAACAAGTTTGTTGAATTCAGTTTACAAGTGAAGCTTCAAATTGTAAAAAATGGAGCCAAGTACAAGAGGCATTTCATTACTTGAAGAACATATTACAAAACCATAATTTTGAATTACATGAAGTCAATTCCTAAATCCTAAGACCTTGCTTCTAATCTTCAAATCCTTTCACCAAAACTGATGCCAAATTCAAGCAATAAACTTTGCTATGCCATCTTGAAACTGCAACCATAACCAAGATTCACATCATTAAAAAATCAGTTAGCATAACAAATAAACAAGCAGCCCTGCATAATACAAACCAACCTTGCAGATCGAAGAAATTCACATCCAGGTACAGTTCAGTTTATAAAACCAGTAAAGAGGCTATAGCAGAAAAATCAGGAAAGTATATCAGAAGAATATATCATGAAAAGGTTGAAATTTCTACTCAGTCCATCAAAACAGAAAAAACAGAATAACCAATCCAAGTTTAACAAAAATGGCCCTGCATTTGTTTGTTAAAATCAGGAGGGTGAATAGAAGAAAACCGTGGAAATTAAATTAGAAACAAAAAATCAGAAGAAAACTGAATCACATCTCCACCATTGGATCATAACCAACTTTCAGATTCAACAGCTCAGATGCAATTATCTTATAACTAACTTTTCTAGATCTAACAGAGATATATAACATAATTTACCTTGATTCAGATTCATTCTACAATCTCTGGAAGAATCACCACTAAGAAACCCCAGAAAAATTCCGAAATCCTCTCTCATTCTCCCCTCTGCAAAAGCTTTAGTGATTCTCTTCAACCTTCAATCTTTTGCATCACGGTTTCTTCATCATCATCATCTTTAATAAATCAGCCTCATGACGCATTCAATTTCATCTGCTTCATCATCGTTCTCCGCTTCACAACAACAATCTTCATTATCTTTCTGCAACTTTTTCCAGAATCTTCAATCATCAACAACTCTGCTTCTGCGATAGATTTATCATCTTCAACTTACAATCAGCATCAACACATCATTGAGTTCACAAGAACAATAACAACACACGAATTCAACCACAATGATTTCGCAGAAATTCGCACAGAAGAAACAAGAACGAAGAAAATAGAAGAAGGAAAGTAAGAAGGCAAAGAGAGAGGAGTAAAGAATCACCTGAAATTCGCACTCAATTCGCTCTGAGCATTTCATCGCCATCGTCATCGTTGAGGTTAGTAATTCGACATCTCTCCTCATTTGCTTCTGATATCACAGCGTAGCTCAGAATCTTCTACGTGACTCCCCTCCGCCAATTGCATAGTTATGTGTTTCATCACGGTTAATTTGGGGTTGTAGATCTTCCTAGGTTTTTCGCTTCAGGAAATGTTAGGGATAGAATCTGAGGAAATGGATAAGGGATTCATGATTAGGGACGAAAAATAAGTAGGGTCCGTGTTGATTCCGTAGTGATTAGGGAGCTTGCAGAGGGGTTCATGGTGGCATTTTTCCATCGGAAATTGCTACATGGAAGATCGGAGAAAGAGAAACAATTCCGTTGTTTTTGTAAGAGAAGAAGAGAAGAAGGTTGAGCTGTTGCACAGCTTGAACCCTAGCCACACTCCAAACGACTTTGTTTTGCTCCATCTTTTTATTTTTTATTTCTTCTTTTTTGTGTGTTATTTTCACACTCAGCTATGATCCATGCACCTCCTTGTTAGTATTCTAATTTTCATATTGTTCTTAACTTCAAACAAATTAATTGTGATGTTTTTTTCATGATTTTTTTGTTGAAGTTTTGTGTGAATATTAGTATGTTAATTTCTGGATCTGTGATATTTTTTATTATTTTTAGGATTTAATTGATTAAATGATGAAAATGTTTAGAATTAGGTTTTTGAGGTGTTCTTGTCGATTCATTATCCTTGATTCAATTTTATTGGCATGATGATTGATTGAATGGCAGGTCCTGATCTTTAATTGCTTAATTATTTGTTTACTTGTGGTTAGGTTCATAAAAGTCTCATAAACTTGATAAAAATAGGCTTTATGATTCATCGAATGCTTATGTGATTTGCTAGCTTTGTGATAGAATATTGATGCAACTTTTGGTGATATGAAATGCTTGAGGATTAGCTTGTTTTATCACTTGTGTGAGTCTCGGTAGAGTTTTATTATCGCTTGCGTGGCTTTGAAAAGGCAACAGACCTTCTCTGTTAGGTACCACTTGGATCTCTTTTACCTCTTTTTCATGCATCTGCATCTGAAGTCCTGGAGGTATCTAGGCATTGGCGTTAGACGCAAATGTGTTTGGAAGGCTTGTAAGACATTTCATTTTTTCGTTTACATTCTTGTTTTTGCCTTTGTATGTTCCCTATAGGATGTTATTTCTTTTCCTTTATTTATTGTTGATTGATTTGTCACTCAATTAGAATTGAGATAACGACTTCACTCTCAATGCATATTTCCTATAGGACTTTATTTCTTTCCTTTATTTATTGTTGATCGATGTGTCACTCAATTAGAATTGAGATAACGACTTCTCTCTCAAAGCATGTTCCCTATAGGACTTTATTGCTTTACTTTATTTATTGTTGACCGATGAGTCACTCAATTAGAATTGAGATCACAACTTCGCTCTCATTGCATATTTCTTTAGGATTTTTATCATTTCCCTTAGGTCTATCTTTGTATGCTAACACTAGGTAAATTTTCCCCTTTGTAATCCAAACTTTAGGATCACTATGTTAGCATGATTCCTTTGTGATTCTTTCCTCATCTTTAGGAGATGTTTGCATGAGCTTTTAAATGTGTTTGCTAACTTGTAGATGCTTTCATCTTGCCTAAGTCATATCATCTTTGTATGTTAAGCATTGGTGTTATCTTTACACTCTAAGCCTTTAGTGCTAGTGAAATTGTTGATTGCTTTTGACTTGGTTTGTAATGCCTTAGAGCAGAACCACTTATGCATGACCCTTAGGGGAACATTAGTGTTTCGTGTGTGACACATTCATGCTATTTGATTGATGACTCAAAGTATGCATTAGAGCTTAGGTTTGTTTGATCATTGCTTGCTTGTTTAGATGATACAGTTAGGTGTTTGGTAGGCTTTAGCCATTTCTTTTTGTTATTTATATTCTTGTTTTTTCTATGTATATTCCCTTAGGATTCACTTGGCTCATCTTTGAATCAAGGTAGACATTAGGCTTATAAATCATACATGCTAACATTAGGTAGATTTTCCTTTTGTTATACTAACTTTAGGACCTCCATTACATGACAACATTAGGAATTGAGTCTCCCTTAGACTTTTCCTTCCCCCTTTTGTATCCTTAAGACTAAAATTTCTTTTTCTTAATCAAATGTTGAAAACACATAACAATAATGTTGTGAACCATGCGGCACGAGCCTTAAGTATTGGGAGGAGTATGAGGGGTGAATTCCCTAACCTTGTACTTCCTTTCAATCATAGTCTTTAATGTGGTTCAAATCACCAAATCCTTTCTCAAGGTAAAAAAGACTAAACCAATTCAAACCTTTTGCCTCCTCCGGGCTTTTCTTTTAAGAAACTTTTTCAGGTAAGAACATGTTAATTCCTTTCTACGAAAATTCTGTGAGTCTCCAAAGTTCGAGCAGCAGTAGAATGTGAAATTAGCATCGTTCATTAAAAACACAAAACAAATAAAAATATTTGAGCCGAACTACGATGCTCTGATTCCGTAAAAAGGATAGTAGGCATTGGGTTGCAGGGCCTAAGTGAGCACAGCTATTTAAAACCTTTGTTTTCCCTGTATATTTTTCTTTTGCATTCATTCATTCCTTTAGCTTGTAAGCTTAGATATACACACCCTTTAATTAGAACAACAAGAGTGGATTTCATGGAGTACCAAGGACATAAGGGGTTTTAATACCTTCCACTTGTGTAATCGAATTACGTACCCTTCTCTTGGTCGTAAGACCTTATTTTATCTCAGGTTTACTCGATGTTTTCCTTTCTCTTCTTTGAGATAAATAAAATTCGATGGCGACTTCATTGTTCATTTTCCTAGTTGCCTCAACCTTTATGCTGTATCTTCTTTCCAAACCAGATGCCTTGTTGTATCTCCAAGCAACCTGAAGGAAGAGGAAAAACAAAAGCATAATTATTATGTATTTTTTGCAAAACTTCGTATGGATAAATTAGAGGCAAAAGAGCCAAAGTTCCAACATCAATCAAAAACAATTATACTGACTTGATAACTTCTCCTTTCCACAACACAATTCTATAAACTATAGCAGAAGATTAGCATGACAAAATCTTAGCCTCTGATGATTAAATTACAGAATCACGTGAAAATACACCACCAAACAAACACAACTTCTCTTCAACGGGGAAAACCACGACATCTTAAAAATTGACGGGTTCAATATATACTTGAAATTACCTTTAAAATGAACAAAGAATCATCCAACAACAGAGTTAGAGATAAAGAACTTGACAATGCAAAACACCAAAGTAACAAATGATTTGTAGTTACATTCTTCAAAATTCTTGTTCTTAAATTGCATAACAAAAACTGTAGATTTGAAGGGAGATAAAATTTTATGGTGATGTAGTGAGTGAGATAAACATCTTTGTGGGTAATGAGAGAGAGAGAGGGGCGAGGAAGACGAAGATGGAGGAAAATGGAGAAAAGTTAGACCTAATGTAAAATGGAGAGAAAGAGAGAGATGAGTTGTGTTTACCTAATGCCGGATGTTAAACTATTTCGGTGGTATCTCCGGTCGGCGAGGCAGCATGCGATTGATGTACATTTGAAAGTTGTGTTGGCTTTGTGATTGAGGTGTGAAAGGAGAGAAGATGAGAATCGAAGGGTTTTCATTGAGAAAATGAATTGGATGTGAATTGGGAAAATATATTGAAGGTTAACGTTTCGTGTAGTTTGACAGTGAAAACATTTCCCCGTATAGAGAGAAACAAAATTGAATGTGAGTTGGCACAATATTAAATATAATAAACTTAAATAATTTGAAAATAATAATTAAAATACTATTTAGTTATAATATTAATAATATTGATAATAATAGAAACATTTCTATAAATAGGAAACATAAAAATAGGAAGAGTTCTATTTTTTTGACAAATGGCAAAGTTGGCAAAATACTCCTTTTTCTTTATTCTATTTAACGATATCATTAAAATTTTGCATTCAAATTAATAAATATAATAAAATAATTAAAAATATCAAATTTGTACTAAATTACCCTTATTTCAATCAGAAATATCAAGGCAAATTTAATATTTTGGAAATAGTATATTGTTGTAGGACAATAGTAAATTTGTAATTAACATATCTAGAGAGATTAGTGGTTTCAAAGACTGTTCAACAATTTTTAAAATATTAAGTAGAGAATGATTTATATTTGTTTTGATGCGTGAAAATAAATGACAGAAAATAAATGGTAGAAAGTAAAATAGAGATTTTAGTGTTAATAATAAAAAATATTGTTAGGGGTAGATTTCATCATTACATGTTTATAAAAGCAAAACCATAGGTCAATAATATAACCATCCAATCATTTATTACTATTGAAACATGTTGCTCTCATTCATATCTCCTTTCAGCCTCAACATCGTGATATTAGTGCATTACATAATAGTCGATATCTCGCTCTATTAACCAACACATATCATTAAGTTAGAACAATTATAAAGCAACAAGACTCTATATTGATTCCACTACAGTACATGTATATATCGAACCTAAATCTATGTCTAGGCATTAGTATTCAATAGATGATTATTTTGAATCTTGTAATGACAAGCACATTTCAAATCTGAAGATATACAATAAAAATAAGTTTTAGGTAGAAAATCTAAAACATGCATTAAGATTAAAGAGTCATCTTTGTTAAACTTGAGTAAAATTTCATAAAACACTATGGTCTATTTAATACATGAATATAATAACTACGTCTATCCTATAATAAATAGATTTTTAACTACACTTACTCATCGTAGCTGCTGGTAACCCCTTGAAGCTAAGCATAGAAGTTTATCTTCCTTATCACTTGAGCAACGCTTCCGCCTTCGAGCTCCCTATCTTATTCTTCTATTATAGAACCAAAGTGAACCTACTCCAATTTTATACTACCTTAATCCACCAAAAGTCCATTTGCAATGAAATTTAAGCCTCTATTAATAAGAAACAAAATTTGGACCCCTTGCTAGGCGCACCACCCTTGCGCCTAGCAAATCTTCTTTCTTTTCCATTAAGCAATGCATGTTGTCTGATAGGTGGCCCTAGTTGCCTTCCCTTGCTAAGCGCAATGCCTCTGCGCTTAGAACCCAAACCCCTGCTTCACCATGAAGTACTTGAACATGGATGTGTCATTTGGATTTCGAACTGCGCTTAGCACTCATATGGCTGGGCCTAGCGAGCCTTGATTTTCAATATTTTTCTCTGGCTTGGTCTTTGCATGATGAATTATGGTTTTGCAGTTATTTTTATCTGTTTTCAATTAATACATACTAGAAAAGTCCAAACATATGTTTTCTCACTTTTCATAGATAAATTGGGGGGAGTTGTATTTATTGTTTGTAAAGTAAGTTAATAAGCGTACACATATTTTACATAAAACTGGTACTTATAAACTCTCCCTAACTTATCTTTTTGTTTTTCCTTAAACAAAAT